CTTTCAGCCAGCCTGAAACAGAAGTTTGGGGATCTAAGAGCTTTGTAGTTGGTTTAATGTGCCTGTAGTAGCTATATTTCTTTATGTTGGATGTAAACATATATTTGAATGTAGGTTTTTTGGGATATGCATTTTTACATGACTTGAATGTTGTAAAACATTCATATATAATCCATAGAACTACATAATATTTTATGTAACTTTAAAAATAATTTCAAAGGGGTTAAGTGAAGTTTCTCCATGTGAATGTTTAGGTATCTGATATTGTGTCATTAAAAAGTGAACAAAAACATTGTGTTAATTTACTCTTAATAGAAGTTAATTATGATTTTGCTTATATTCTTGCACACATATGTTTTTCTGTTGTTACTAAGCCTACTTAGTAATTTGTATGTGATAGCTAGATTCTACCACTATTCTATGTGAGCTGAAAATGAGATGTGTCTCAAATACTGTTTGGCTGTAACTTTTGTAATAATCGATATACACATTTATGAATAACATGCTTCTCAAAACATGCACACTTTGTCAATGTTTGATAATAGAGATGATTTGAGTGAATAATTTTTTATTGAATTAGGAAAACATTTTCTGTGACCATTATTAATATAGGTACTTCTTTTTTTAAATTACTTTTCTTTTTATTAAAAACTCTAAAGGGTATTGTCTTGTATTGTGAGTCTTTTCCACTCTGTTTTTTAATTGCAATTTCTCAGACACATATTTGAGGTAGGATTAATATTTTTAATGAGCAAATTCATAAAACCGCATAATGGAATTCTTACTTAACACAGGCAAAAACTGGAGATACAGTACATGAGCTACAAGCCAGGCCACTATTTGAAAATGTTTTCTTCCAAGAAATTTGGCTTTAGTATTTGTGTTTTCCCAAGCCTCAGTGACAAAATTTGTAAACGGTATTAATGATACTTAGAAAGTGCAGTTATTACAAAAGAATTGAAGAATAACAGTCCATCTGTATTACTACAGTTTGTGAATAGGGTGTTTGAATAGCAGTTTCTGAGATTCCATTGAAAATTGGTGAGCATATACACTTCTGTACTTGTGTATTATATTTTAGGGATTTTTTTAATTATTGTATTTTCAGTGTGCTTTAAGGGAAATAGCATACTTAATCAGATTTAGCAAGATATCATTTCAGAAGTGGTCCAAAAGAAGAAAAAGATGTGGTACTAACTGATTATAGAAGGATGGGCTATACACTGCAATACAGATGGATTACAATAGCATGTTTATTATGAGTGATTCAAAGACTTACCTCCTAAAACAAAGAAGAAAAAGAAAAATAATAAAATCTTTGCCATTATGCCTATTGAAATAATATATACTTGCTTCATATTTATGCACTTCCACTAGCCCAGTGGAAGAAGAAAATGTGCAAAGCATTCTTAAGTGAGCTATTCCAAATGAAATTACAATTTTTCATACAGTTACAGTTTAATTACAATAAATACCCTGTTAATTGATAGTAATATATTCATTAATATTCTCTTTGCTGATAAGTATGAAATAATGTCAAACTTCTTCATTAATGCAAAGTTTGCAGTGAAGATGGCCACCAGTAAAACTGTCTGTCTGTAAAGGTTCAGGAGGTGTTGATATAAGTTCATACTCAAATTGTAAATATAATCAAGATTGTGATATAAGAAAGACATTTTTGCAGGATAAGGTCAATTAGGCTGAAAGTCTGCAGTGTGTTGCATACAGGGGGTTCACTGCTCCTTCACAGAGGTCCTTTGGCTTCACTGGGGCTCAGACCAGAAATGGATAAGAAGTAGGAAAGGGATAAGTCCCTACAAGTGTGATAGGCTACAAAGAATTAAATCCACCCAGGTTTGATGACTGCTATAGGACAGGTGCACTATTGAAAACTTCCAGGCAGAACTCTAAATATATTTGTGCTATGCTAGCCTTTCACAGAGGGGAAAAATTAATTACTTGAAATATAAAAATCGTATCTCGGCTCATCTACTTGCACAGAAGCAACTAATTTTGGATAAGCTTCTAGCACTATATCCTTAGAATGGACAAAAATCACAGTAATTTTCATCAGTCATTTTTATGTCTGATCCTGTGAGGTCCTGACTTACATTGTCATGCTCATTGTGAATGAGCAGCTGAAGATATTGCTGATTGTCTTACATAAATTACTTTGATTCCTTTGAAGCAATAGAATCTGATTAAAAGAAAATGTAACTCCAGAGTTAAACATCAGTGTTCTCTCACTTTTGCAATGAGCTGTTTTGCAAACCCTACCTGAAACATACTTCAGAATGGCAGTAAATGCAAAATTATTTTTAAGAGAGCAGCAGGTATTTCCCAAATTTTTCATCCATATTAATTTAAACTAAATTTTAAAGGCTAACAATCTTCCCTCCCCTCAAAGAAGAATAAGAGATTAATTTATTAAAATTATTGCTTTTCTTAACAGCTCATAACATCACCAACATGCACATATCTATGATTCAGATTTAATACAAATATTTCAAAATATCAGATCTGAAAAATGCTCTCCATTTTTGTTACATGCCTATTCAATAAAATGTATACCTTTGGTATAATATGTTTTATTGCATATAGCAAACAATTTTTTCATAATAAAAATATATATTTTAGAAATTGTGAATTATAGGGAACATTAATTCCTCAGATAACCCACAATATTGGATACAGTATCTTGAACCGGCATATAAATATGTAGACATGATAAACATGTATATTTTCTATTGGAAATGACAAGTGAAAGATCTTTGAGAATTCTAAATTTTCTAATAATGAAGCTACTTAAACTACCTGTATGCTACTTTATTACATGCATCATAAGACTTTATTTTCATTGAAAATATGCTTTAAATAAGGCAGGGTTTGTAAGAATTTAAATACCATTTTTTCTTACATGAAAAACAATTTTTTTAAGGTGGTCATGCCTCCCTTTCTATTCTGAAATTACTACACACAAAGCAATAGACTTACAGAGCTAAGCATCCTTCAAGGATGAAATCACAGTGAAGAAAGCTGTGATATACTTTATGCTGTTAATCATGTTGTATCATATTGTATCGTATGATGATACCACAACAGAAGAGAGCTGGTTGTTTACACAGTGGTTCTGACTGGCAAATGTAAACAAAGATGGGTCAAGCACTTTGGCAATGCATTGACTTGCTAGTTCGTTTCCAGGATTTTACAATGTTGATCATTAGTTCCATTGTCAACTTGACATGAGGCACCTATTTTTAAGGTAAGAAATTGTTCAGTTGATGAAATGTCAGTGGGGTTTTCAAGTAAGTATGAATCTGTTCCCTTAGCTCATTATTATATATACTTTAAGGAATTATATGACATAGAGTGACTGTTGGTTTCTAAGATATGTAAGCTAAGAAAATGTCTAGTACAGCAAGTAATAATTTAAATGAACTGTTTAGGTAAAGTCCACATTTTAATATAGAGCAACAGAAGTCTGATGGCTACGTAGAAACTCTTAGACCAGCTGAAATGATTTGAATTGGCTTGGAAAAGCTCAAGTGTACTTGAAGTTCAGTGTACATGTGAATATTCAAGCATTAAAAGATATGACAGTTGGAGCATCTTTCCAGAACTAAATGCTCCTTCTTTTTAAGGTCAATTTGAAGGTGAATTCTGTTGTGAATTGCTTTTCTCCACCAAAGGACTTTGTAAACAGACATTGATTGTTGCAGGAGGCAGTCTGTCTACCTATTCCTCCTCACTTCACAGTATGCTTCTCCTCACTGAATATGTGCCTGCTGCCTGTGGAAAGTCCATGTAGCAGGTTCTGTCCTGAGATTCACAAGTTCCTCCTTGTACTAGGGTCGTAAGTAGCATCTTCTCTTTTCTATTCTTTAAAGGTGACTAATTGTTCTAGGTTACTTATCATTGTGGTAAGTACCTATTTATTATTTTCTAAAAACTTACCTATTGCAGATTGCAAAATGAACTGCAGCCTCAGGCTTTTCTCAGGAGATGAAGTCGACAAAGATGTTAAATGTTCATCCTGTAAATATACCTCGTTTCCCAGGATTTGGACAGGTTAAGATTCCACTAACCAGACAAAACTGTCATCCTCATCCATCATTCCTCTGAAATGCATTAATATTCTTCTCACAGAGGTTTTGAACTTCTGTACTGTACACAAGTGAGACGTAATGGTCCTTCCTCACTTATGTTTCTGGGAGGTGTTTCCCCAGAAACTTCTTTAGGGCACTTCCAGATTTTATTAATTACTGTCAGTTCAGAAAGAATAGTGGTTTATATTTCTTTTCTTAACCCTCCTACGCTTTTTTTCATGCTCAGATGGCTTGAGCTGACGAATCATGACTCTTCTGTCCTTGCTGTTTATCCTCCTGCCCTTGCAGCTTTGAAGATTATCGGTCAGGCATATTTCTCCTCCTGTAAGCTATTTTAAAATTGAGAAGTCAATAGAGAATGCCATTCCTATTAGTGCTGGTGAGGTTTAATCTCATTAATTCCACATTTCCTAATATATTTTGTAAGGGTCTGATTTCATCTTTAAAATAAGTTTTCAGAGGTTTTAGAATCAGAACCATAACCTGGCAAGAAGAAGCAGGCAGAAAGTGCTAGGAATAGTTTTGTGACTTCTTGTATTGAGACAGGCAATGTGGATACTTCTGATTCAATCTCTTTCTAGGTATTTGTCTCTAAGTAAGGGTGGGGGGGGGGAAGAATTCATGCAAACTTATTTGGGTTCTGAGGGTCTACTGGGGATTTTTGTAATTCCCTCAAAGATATAATTCTATTGTTATATGAGAGATATAACACTGTATAATGTGGTCTATATATCAAGGCTCTGTAACTTGAGTTCCCAAATACCATGCAAGCAATTTGATCAAAGTGCTTTTTTCCGTGTAGAAGAGATGTTTCACCGTAATATTTAACAGTAGGTCTAATAAAACAGATACTTTATTTTATGCTGTTGAGTGACAATAATAAGGTTCCCATTGTCAGACAGAGTCCACCTTCACTTGGTTGTTGTTTGTAATCAATGGAGAAGGTTTACTTCTCATCCTGTCTCCTGCATCATTAGAACTGTCCTGGAAAAAAAACTTTGCTGTGCAACAAGTGACAATAATTCTCTTGTATTCTCTTCTGAAGTTCTGGTTCAGCA